ACGAATTAAAAAAAAGAAATAGAAAGTATTGATTTTCGGTAATTTTAATCTTTATATATTCGTTCAATTGTATATTCTTAATCGATCGATTACGTAACGAATATGTTACACCCTGATCCCCCGAGGGAGGGTTAATTTCGAACGACATTCGAGCCATTCGAAGTCAATGAGAATCCGATGCTCGTGAGACAGCTACGTGTCCGGCATTCGAGCCACTTCCTCGACTCGAGTTTAGTATTCCATAGAATTTTCACGTAACGCGTTTACTATTCCGGTTTCTAACGGCGGGCATGAATTCTTTTTCCTCGATCGAAACTGCCCGACCTACTCGTCCGGTAGCTAAAAATAGAAGCACGGTGAATAATAATCTTCGACGGAAAATGAACGTTTTCGAGAGTTAATTAACGGCCGGACAACAGCGCGTCGCATCGCGCTTGCCATCTATTGGTAGAAAAAGGATACACCGGAATATAGCAATTTACTTATCTCCTCTCCCCGACTCGACGCGAGTCTCGACTCGTATTTCTCATGCTAATTAAACTCGTGGCCGTACGACGGTTATAAAACGTATATAATCGCGGTTTTTCCTTTTGAACGTAACGAGAAATTGAAATAGAAACGCCGAAGGCGATCGATCCTAACGATTTCTTAATTAATTAACTAAATTAAACGGATTTGAAAAGCAAGTGTTTCGCGGTTCGTTACACGTAACCGGCGTGTTTCCCCGATCCCATATAATGACAGATAAAGAAACACACCGCTATCGTGCGGTATCCAATTTCAATTACCGAGTAGCACTTAATACTTTGCTTACGTGTAATAAAGCCACGATGCCGGGGGGAAAAGTATAAATATACTTGGGACTAAAGTGATACCGGCGGGCAAGCGGTTTCGTCAGTTTATTTATTCCCAGGTCAAGGGAACGCCATTTCTTAAACACGAAGGTCAAGAAGTCAATGAGATCCGGTTGCTCAGGTATGTAACCACGCAAGTGGCCGAAGTCCCACGGGCGTATTCGCAACAATTTCGTTCCTTCTAATTTTCCATCGAATATTTCGGCTTCCAGAGTCTAATCTAATTTGTCGTCGAACATACGTTCATCGCTGATCGTATCGCTTCATTCGTCAAACTGACTTCGTCCTGTTATACGCGTATCGTTATAACGGCCGATATCCGTTGTACGCACTAGGCACGCCAGGGAAATGGTGGGATTACCGCATTGGCGAGTTATGCGTTATTGTTTCGCGTTATTGCAAAAGGACGAAGATAAGCATCTGAAATTCCAAAGTTTTATCTCACGATGGCGCTTACGCGCGTTAATTATCGAAATAGTTGACGGTACTCTTATTCAAAAAATAATAATTTTAAAAAAAGTGATGGCCTCAAAAAGGAAGTTCCATTCAATCAACGTGTATCTCGTTATAACCATTAATTATGGTACACCTTGTACATTAGTGTATTTCATCATGTTACACCAGGACGTTTTACACGCTATTTAACGCTTTAATTGCATCTATAATTATTATTACCACATCATTTCCTATTCCTCCTCGTTATTTCGTTTCGCATTCGACGGTTAAACGGGACATCCGGCATAAGGAACAATTCCAAGGATTGCGCTAAAAGCTCTCGCAAATTATGCATTTCTTCCACGTTTCCCGTTACTTTTATGTTCATCCTCTCGATCACGCCTCCGCTCTTAGCCGTACGGGAAATCATGGTTACCAACTCGGCCAACCTATCTAAAATCTTTATCACGACGGGATTTCACGCGCAATGAGGCGCGCTCCGTTACGCTTTGCGTTTTCGATTATCACGCTCGCATCTCTCCGCATTCTCCGCTTTATCCACGCGCACTTCTCCCGAGCGCTTGTTATTTTATACTAGAACACATCGGCTCGTAAGCTTTCCAAAAAGCTCTTTTCGCACGATGCGTATTCCGTCAAATCCTATTGAATTTTTCGAACGAGAAAATTTTGAAATTTTTTAAATTTTATTTGGTTAATTAAATAGAAAGATGAACGAACTTTTATCATTCTATTTGTACGATAATATCTATGCGAGTTGTATATATTTTATAATTGGCAACTTTATTATGAAAAAAATAGAATGAAATGGATGAGAGTTTATATATGATAATTTCGAGATAAGGAATTAATAAATGTTTAATAGGTACATCTATTGTACTTGATCATTTTGTCATTATCAATCGATGTGTCATACTTGCATTGTCAATTTTATTTGAAAAATAATAAAATCTTGGAATATATAATAAAATTTTGGAAATGTATTATTTAACTAGATTCTAAAATAAATTATAAAACTTTGTAGAATAAATAGTTGCAAAACTTTTTCTTTATCTTCGTATTCAATCCCAAATTCTCTCATTTCTTTTTCCTGATAAAATGTTCGAATATCTTCAAGATTCATAAACATAACCACGAGATGATTTGGCTCGCGAAATTGTGCTCAAGTGCACGCGCGCCTAATTTATATCAAAGAATCTTTTGTAGATAAAAACTCTTACAAAAATTACCACTCATTTTAATATATCTACGTAAAATATTTCTAGAGATTCGGTCGTTTAAAAAACTTTAGAAATTTTATCTTAACATCGAGCAAATTATTCGAAATCATTTTAACTGATTTATTAAATATTTTTTGGATCTACAAAATTATTAAAAATGATAATTCTTGAATAAAAATAAATGACTTTTAACCGTAAAAATGAATTTTCAAACTTCGTCAGTAGCGTATAGCATACGATATCAGCGATAGAAGCTACCCCATGAATCGGAAATCTCGCAGAGTCTCCTCGAACGCAATTTTGCCGGGACGTCTCGAGGGACTCGTATCAGAAGCATAGCGCATAATAAAGGGCTCCCTCGCTTGTCTGTGTCCGTAGCGCCGGACATCGGGTGGGTTCTTGTCCCAGCGGCCGGTAACGAGACGCCGCAGTAACTAGAGAGTCACGAGGAGTGAGAACAAGTCGACGAACTGGCGGTCGGAAGAAGATCGCAAGAGTGTGGTAGAATCGTGTGCGCGCGAGCACATAGAATCAAGAAGGCAAAAGAGTCTCGGCACTGGGCACCTAGCCGTACGTGTATACACGCATACAGGGTGTTCAACGCAGAGTGATGACACGCAGGCAGAGGCTGATTTTACGCGCGAAAATGTGGAATGAAATTTTTCTATTTAAAAATCATCACATTTCTTAAACCTTTAAAGCGAAAAAATTCCATTTCCTTTTTTCGATTTTTATTTTTGCACAGAGAAACACTCTTCGTCCCCTTGCACCATCCATCCTGAGACACCTTGTACGCGCATACATACTACGTACATACAGCGATACGTATAGAAAAGCGTAGCCGGAATCATGGTGTACAGGTTGGCGGTGTACGGTGCCGCGCGAGCTCGTGAACCATGAGCATGCTCGGGGACACGGTGGTTGTCGCCAGTGATGGTGGTAGTGAAGCTGTGTGGTGGTAGTAGCCGTGATGGCTAGTGGCTGGCGCCGCCGGACGTTCAACAATGGTCGTGTCTCCCTTCCCCTTTCCCGCGCGCACAGTCGCTCGGCTCTCTCCAGCCCCTCCACCCGCGCCTAGAGCCCTTAGAGCGCAGCCCCTCTCCCCACCGCTCCGTCGCACCTATGTCTTTACCCCCTCCCCTCGAGCGCCGCCGCCACCCGTGTCCCGCTCGCCGTGGGCAGCTTTAGCTTTAGCTTTAGCGGCGTCGCCCTTCTCTTCCACGCCCGGCTTGTCCCGCCGACGCCTCTGCTCCCATGGTCGTCAAACACCCCCGACTACGGTCGGCTTCGAGCCGAACGATTTTCGCTCGAACAAACTGTACAGCCCTCCAGGGGGAAGAGGTGGCGGAGATAGCGAGCAGGCGTCGGAGCGGGAATTCCTGGCGGCGTTCCTCGTCGCGCCTTTCCGCGAATTATTCTTCGCCCTGGCTGGTGATACGTGTTACCTGCCTGCCCCGATTTTCTTTCCTCTTCTTTCTTTTATCCTTTTTAGTCTTGATTCATTCTTTTTTCTCCATCTTTCTTTTTTTCTTTCTTTCTTTCTTTCTTTCTAGGTGGTTGGGATTTGTGAATGGAGGAAAGGGGATGCTGTTGGAGGGGGGCAAGCAGGCGTCGTTTGGAAGAATGGCCGATGGTTTGAGATTGTGCTATTGCATGCATAAAGTTTGGTAGCGAATTCTTATGAAATGTTGCATCTATCCGGTATACAATGATTGCGAAAATATAATTATAAGTTACAAAGCTTATATGACGTAGGAAATACGTATGCAATTTATTACTTGGTAATATAATTCTTGGAAAAGTAAAACGAAATAAAATTAATAATGAAAAAAGAATAATAATGACAAAAAAATATTTGCTTTGCTGGATAATAGCAATCGTTTCTTTATTTATTTAGTAAAAATGATTATATTTGTATTTATTATAATATCCTAATATTAAATATTTATGTAAATGTTTTGTAATTTTTTCATGTTGCTAAAGACTAACATATATATAAAATTAAAATAAAATATAAAGTGATTTTAATAAGTATTAAAGACAAAATATTGAAATATCAATTTCAATTTTATACTTTGAAGCATAATTTTTCCAAAGAAATCGATATAAGTTCACATGTACCGGCAAATAACCATGCAATCGAATACAAACAAGATTATCGTCGATTATATTATCTGAGATCGCAAATATCGGGTATACTTTTCTGAGTAAAAAAAAGAAGAAAAAGAAAAAGTAAAAAAAAAAAAAAAAAAAAAAGAAGAAATTGCTAATATATAAATATATATAAATATTTACTAAAGTCCATATATAAATAGGTCAGATAACAATCCGTTTCGTGAGCGATTCGAGTCCAACGCTATTTTATTCAGGCAGCGATTGCGCCGTACGGGTAGTGGAGGCGTCACGGGTAGAATGGTATCGGGGTGGGGGAAAGCTTTAAAAGCGTGCAGGTGAGGGGCGGAGACCAGTTGACTTCGATCCGTCGAGCATAACGTGTTGTAAGGAGTACGTTAGACACTCTTCTCTTGCACACTCGTTGCGTCCGAAATAGTCATCAGACAATTTCTCTTCTCGTATAATCAATTCATTCAATGTAATTCTACGCGAATGTAACCAACTCGCGATAAAAACTGTAAAAACTGTGTGTGATATTTGTGTTGTAAAACATAATATTTAGCCGAAAGAAAAAGAAAAAAAAAAAGAAAAGAAACGATATACAAAAGTGAACAGAAACGAAAAGAAAAACGAAATATCTCGATCATACGAATCTCAATCGTTAGCTCGTGCGCTCACTTTGGTAGGTTGGTTCGATCGATAAATACACGGGGTGCGTGCACTGGCGTTCGGCAAATAATCAACCGTACGTTTTAGAAGGTGTGCTTGCTTGATCGAATTAATCATCGACCCATATCTTTTTCAACTTTTATCTGCTGCTTGAACCGGTGTCCAGCAAACAAATTCTCGCACGTCAACGTCGACCAGAAAAATCGAATCGAGTGGAAAAATACGTACATATACACGCACAACATGAAAGCGATGGTGGTGAGCCCGGTGGGCGGTAGAGTACCGCCAAGTCGAGGTGTCCTGCATAATAGTCTCGGAATCAACGGAACTCGTCGTGACCTGGAAGCAGAAGAAGTAGCTGCTTACTTAACGAAATTGAGATCTCTGGTGCCCGACATGCCGAGGAAACGGAAATTATCGAAGCTCGAGGTTATCCAAAGGGTTATCGAGTATATCTGTGATCTTCAAACAACTCTCGAAGAGACGAATGTGCATAATGAATCAACTGTGGCAAAAACGACGTCAAGACAGCCGTTACAACCGTTGTTGAACGCGACGACGACTGTCCCAACGACGACAACAACATCGACGACGACCACGATAACCGGAATGGTCGCGGAACGGTGACCTGTGTCGGCAAACGAGTTACAGTGAGGTCCAGGTCGCTGCAAGCTTCTCGTCCTCGTGGGCTGACGACTTGACCTCCATGTTTCGGCGTTGAGGAACTGTTCGAGTCTTCTTCAGGGAGTTAAATCGAGAACTCGGCTCGTTGTGGTAACGTTTTGCGGCGTATGTTGGATAGTGGATGTTGCCTTAACCGTGTTTTGTGCTCGTCCTCCACTGTATAGAAATTTCTCGAAGATTCGAAGGTCGAAAAGGAAAACAGGGATAAGATCTTGGTGCTCAAGTATCTGGCAAAAAGAACGAAATGTTTCGAGAAAAGAGCGACCTAACCTAACATCGAAAACGATGCGCTCGAAGTATCGAGGCGGCGCCTGAGAGAAGAGCGAAGAACGATGCGAAAGAAGGACGACGAAGCGGGCCGATTACGGCCGATCTAACTTCTTTCTTCGAGGAAAGATGTAAATACTTGTACATAAAACTCACCGCATTCCTCGCACGAGATCTTTCTTCTCATCTTCAATCGATTCGCTTCTTTTAGTCCATCCAACTTTTCGCTTCCAACCCCGAGATTCTTGTAATCTTTTCCTAATCCAAGCTGTGTTACACATGTAAACGACGATCGCATTATCTCTTTTCACCGATAATTATCTTATTATATTTTATATCCAAACAATTACGAAGATTGTGTCATTCTCCTATTTTGTAACTTTGTAATTTATCCTTTCGATACAAAATTCGATCAGTGATGAATTCGATTTGAAATTTGAAAAGAAAATGTTTATCTATTAAATTTTTCTCCCAAAAGTACAGATATTTATTTAAAGATCGATGATAATTAAAATCGAATTGATCACGTTTCTAATTGTAAGCATACAACCCTCGTTCACAACTGGCCATGAATGGATTTCCCCCTCCTTTTCTTTAATAGTTTTCGCGTGGAAGAGAAATGTTTATCATCACGTTGATCAGAGTCCGTATTATTTCAACTCCCCCTTGTAGATAATAAAGCGAATTATTTGTATTACTGATCGATTAATCATCGATATTCTATATTATTATTATTATATATTACATGATTATTATTATTATTGTTATTGCTTTTCATATTATAATTTAGAGATTTCTCCATAACTATTGTATATTTGCGAAGACTGAAAGGCTGTAAAATATAAGTATACTTGATACATGAGTTTGCTACACTCGCTCATGTATGAAAATAAAATACAAACTGTGTCCATGCAATTACTTCTGTTTATATTGTTCTCTCTCTCTTCAAAGATCCGTCCTTGACTCCTTTTAAATTAATCTGTTAAAAATTCATAAACCAAAATAAAAATTATCGCTTATATAATAATTGTAAAAAGAAAAAAATAATTCTATATATTTGCGAAACTTTATTTAACAGACGTAATAAATTCTGGCGTTTCAATTTAATGGAATAGAAAGTAAAAATAACACTTAACAAAAGATACATTCCCATGTGTTATATCCATTTAATTTCCTCTTTGTAATTTTCAGAATTTAATTTATATTATATTTCTCTCGAACAAGAGAGAAATTCCTTTTAAAATTTCCTGCGTCAAATTTATCTGTAAAAATTCGCAGCCATTATCAAACTTTTTGATTCAATCCCGCAGCCACAATCCTTTCACCTTTCGTTCCTACGAAACGAAATAAAGTTTCGAAAAGTCATCGAAATAGAATGACTCAAAGTTAGAATTCCAACTGTCACACATATTATCCATCATTACAAGGAAAATAAAATATCCCAGATATGACGCGGAAAAAAGGGATGTTGTTCCCAATCAAGCTCGAGAATATCCCCCGTCGACCAATTTCTCCTCGTTACGTCGTTTCCCCGTTTCAGCTGCGTCGCTGAAAGCGATAAATCCGCGAGCGTCCCGCGGAACACGCGCGCAGGGTGGGCTTAAATGGGCACACGTGTACGTAATAATCCTCGCACACGTGCGGGAAGGAGGGTCTCCAGCCTGGAGAGGACCGGTGGTCGTGTCGTTGTAGGAGTCCGCCAACTTCCCGTATTGATCGTGTGTCCCCTGTCCCGGGTCGCGTGCGCGTTCCTGGGAACTTGGAGACCACGGAATACCCACGGGAACCGATTCAGTCGGAACGCGCGTGTCCCCGGCTCTCTCGTCCCTTCGTCCACTCGAAAGCTTGCTTCGTATTCATACGGAGAGATGGAGGAAGAAAGTGTAGCGAAGGGAGAGGAGAGAGGGTGGCGGACGACTACTCGACTATACGAACCACCAGGCTGGATACGACGCGTGTGCACGCGCTAATAAACGAAAGTGGAGGCTGACTCACGACAGCGCACCCTCCTACGCTGGGCTGAAAGAGAGCTGATCGATGCTGGGGATAAGAAGCACGACTCCGTATTACTCCGTACAACCGTCACCTTGCAAGCGTGTAACGATGCTTAAGTGACCGATATACGACTTGTGCTCGCCTACGCGTCGTTCAATCAGCGGATCCTTGGATCGGCGGAAGAGTCCATGAGTTTGAGAGCTTGAGGGATGGATTGTATGAATTTGGATTGTGATTAATAAAAACAAAATGAATTGAATTAATTAGAGAGAAATGAAAGGTTGTTCGAATACGTACTCGTACAAGATACAAGCGTAAAAGTATTTATTTCAATTCTTTTCGATTATAGTATGTGATATAAATGGGTTTTTTTTTGCAGCTACACGCTTGTTTCCTTTTTTTTTTTTTTTCCTTTTCTTTTCTTCTTGTTTCTCGTTCATTTTTAATCGTATTAATATTATAAAAATGGTAAACACTAGTACGCGGGTTTTGGACATCGTTCTATGCTTGGGAAAGAATTTAATGCGTGTCAATCGCACAATTCAGTAAAATAATAAATGCCAAAGAAGATATAATGCTGCAATTTAAAAATGCCTTGAAAAAAAAAAAATGACAATACCGATAATATAAACTATAGTAGCGTTCTGTACATTTGTTTAAAAAAAAAAAAAAAAAATTGCAACTAAATTTGCAACGAAACAACAAACAACTATGCACGTACGTAATCGTTAAGCAACTGTTGTATACGTTTGTGTGTATAAATGCAAATCTTTACGATGCCGTATGGTACAAGAGAATCTGCGTCTTCTCTTTTCTCTAAATTGACTCGAAGCAATTCTTGCTTATTTTTGAAACTCACAAAGGCATGATGTCGCCCTTTCGATTTCCTATTGTATCAGAAATTGTAACAAGTTAGAGACAAGAACTCGAGGCGAGAAATAATTCATTGTACTACTAAACGTGAGTGATCAGATATTCCTTGATAGAGTCTTTATCCCTGGCAAGCCATGCCGCGTTCAATCTGATAGATTCGACACTTTGTTGGACCGTTCTTTCGGTTCCCGGTGTTGGATGGTCCTTGAAGAATTCTTCGACATCTTTGGCCCTTTCTTCGGTGACGAAGTTTTCCGTGGTGAATTTGACCAATCTTGAAATCAAGAAACCGCCACCGTAACGATCGAGCAAAGTCTTCCAATTCTCTTTAAAAAAGTCCCAAGCCATCACTCGACCTTTGTACGTCATCGCTACCGACATGATGGCGAACACCGTGTCCTGAGCTCTCACTTCATCGCTCATAGCAAAGTTGAGAACTTTCGCTAACAAGGTTTCGTCTTTGATCGCACCCAGAGCTCTCAATATTCTATCCTTCTCCTCGTGCAAATCTGCTTCTCGATAAAGCCTCAACATGGTCTCGTAAGTGTCGGTATCGCCGACAGAAAGCACGGCCCGATAAACAGGGCTACGCAAGTCGGCAGCGAGTAATGTTGTACCAGAAACGTGCAATTCGAATCTTTTCTTTGCTTCTTGTATGGTATCCTCGTCGTTCAGTGCTGCCATACGACCTAAAACAAGAGATCGTAAAAGGGTATCCAAATGGCTCTCGTTAGGTTTAGGATCCCAGCCCAACTTATTGGTGATGTCTCGCATCAAATTACGTCCAAACGCTTTGAACGAATCTTCGAAATCCAAATGGGACACTAGAACTCCGATTTTCCCTAGACTATTTACTATGCTAGACCATACAGTGAAATTATCTTCGTGTTGAAACGCTTGCATGAGTTGAAGTACTTCTATGGTAGAAGCGTGACCGGCTTGTACCATGGCGAACAGATCGTCTAGCAGACCCAATCTATCTAGCGGAGGTAATGCATGATCTTTGACAGCGGGTAACAAGAGAGACAATGCTTCTGGACTGTAATGAATCCTGTAGAAACCGATCGTTCCAGGATTGATTTTTACCCAATGATCTTCAGGGACGTCTTTGACTCGAAATTCTTTTGTTTTCTCGTCCAACAGGTCCTTAAGCACGCACTCCTCAGGATTCTTCGACGTGCTTATGCTAATCGGTATGATCCACGAATTACTTCCTGTATCCGTGGATCCATCAGCTAAAAATTTCTCTTGGGATAAGGACAGGATTCGATCGGTACCTTCTTGACGATGTTGAACTCTGACAACGGGGAATCCCTGTTGCTCTGTCCACGTGCTCATCACACTGCGGACTTCTTTCTTACTGGCTTCTTCTAAAGCATCCCAAAGATCTCCAGTTTCCGCATTGGCGTAGCTATGCTTTTTCAAGTAAAGGTTCATACCCTTTCGAAAATCATCATCCCCGATGTAAGAGTGCAACATTCGAATGACACACGCGCCTTTATTGTAAGAAATGTCGTCGAAGATCTCATCGATTTCGGAAGGATGACCAACCGGCACTTCGATCGGATGACTATTCTTTAAAGCGTCGAGTTCTAAAGCTCTGATGTACGTGTCTGTTACGAATTGTGTCCAAATATCATACTCGGGAAATAAGTGAGCAACGCATAAAAATTCCACGAATGACGCGTAACCCTCGTTTAACCATAAATGAGTCCACCATTCCATGGTTACAAGATTGCCGAACCATTGATGTGCCAATTCATGTGCTACTACTAAAGCAATCCATTGTTTTCGTACAGCGGATGTGTTTTGTGGATCTACCAAGAGGCAAGTTTCACGATACGTAACTAAACCCCAATTTTCCATAGCACCGGATGAGAAATCGGCAATCGCGATAAGATCAATTTTCGGAAGTGGATAAGCAATTCCAAAATAAGTTTTGTAATACGGCAACACTTTAGTTGCTACTTCTAATGCAAATTGTCCCTGTTCTTTCTTTGATTTCGGTGTGTATACGCGTACTAATACACCATCACTCGATTTGTCCTCTATGTAATCGAATTCACCGACCACAACTGCTACTAAATACGTCGACATGATTGGTGTCCTTTCGAATACTAAAGTTTCGACTGCTTCATTCGTTACCTTGTTTTTGATAGGCTGCAACAGATAAAAAAATATTTTTTTAAATATTATGTATATATATGTTTGAAAATACACAGACTAAAAATGGAGAAAACAAGAAAAAATAAAATAAAACCACATGTGCTAGGCGCTGCTTACCATATTGGAAAGTGCTGTAAGACCTGATGGTACATTTAGAGTAATATCAAACGTAGCTTTGTGTGCTGGTTCATCCCAGCATGGGAAGCAACGTCTAGCATCTGTTGGCTCGAATTGAGTTACAGCTGCGTGTTCAACAGTTCCATTGACCCTGTAAACATACAAAAAATTTTTATTATTTTAAAGATGTCAATTACTGCTTACCATATTTGATAGGCCAACAAGTGACTTATCACGAAGCACAATTGATATCGTAAAAGTAGCTTTTAAAGACGGTTCATCCCAACAGGGAAAAAATCTACGAGCTGATGTAGGACATAAATAAGTTACTGCATACCACTTATTTTGTCTACAAAATGTTAGATGCTTAAAATAAAAAAAAAAAAAATCTCATTTTTTTCTTTTATAATAAAAATGTTTTTATATAAGATATATTTATATTATTATTAAATTGTAGAAATTACAGTACCCAATATATTTGCTCCTATAGAAGCCCTTCATTTTATCGTTAATTTCTCCTATAAATTCCAAGCTCAAGTACCCACTTCTTCCCACTGGCAATTTTTCGGAAAATACCAAAGTTGCTGTTTCTTCAGACGAAGAAATATCAATATGTTTTGTCGGAATGATTTTTCCATTATTATCATTAAAAAATACAGTTTTTATATTAATATCCAATGAATTTAAAACAATAGTATCTGTAGATTTTTTTACCTATAAACATTAAAAATTAAAATTATAAAATGAAAAAATTTTAAAATATAATA